TCTAGGTAGCTGTGGGAGTCGGTGGGCTTGAAATGAATATCGGTTTCTAGGTGGTTGCCCGATATGGAGACAGAGAGGTCCAGGAAGGGGAGAGAGGTGTTAGAGATGGTCCAGGTAAACTTAAGGTTGGGGTGGAAGGTGTCAGTGAAGTGGATGAACTGTTCGAGCTCCTCGTGGGAGCACAAGGTGGCGCCGATACAGTCATCAATGTAACGGAGGAAGAGGTGGGGTTTAGGGCCGGTGTAGGTACGGAAGAGGGATTGTTCCACGTAACCAAGTTCAAAATCTCCCCTCCCCCCACCGCATCCCAAAACCAGTCCAGCTCGTCCCTGCCTCCCTAACCTGTTCTTCCTCCCACCTATCCCCTCCTCCCACCTCAAGCCGCACCTCCATCTCCTACCGACCAACCTCATCACACCCCCTTGACCTGTCCGTCCTCCCTGGACTGACCTATCCCCTTCCTAACTCCCCACCTACACTCACCTTTACTGGCCCCATCCCCGCCTCTTCGACCTGTTTGTTTCCTCTCCACCTATCCTCTCCTCTATCCATCTTCTATCCGCCTCCCACTCTCTCCCTATTTATTTCAGAACTCCCTTCCCCTCCCCCTTTTCTGATGAAGGGTCTCGGCCCGAAACATCAGCCTCTCTGCTCCTATGATGCTGCTTGGCCTGCTGTGTTCATCCAGCCCTGCACCTTGTTGTCCCAGATAACATAGTGCCTGTTTTGTCAGATAGACTTAGAATGCCTTCAAATGGAGTTTTCATTTAGATGAGGTCAACTTTGGATTTTAAAAACCTTTAAAACTGAAAAAGGAAGAAAATAAGCATGTGTGTAGGGGACATGCTTTAAAATAAAAGATCACATACCTCAATGGGGCCCAAAGTCATATCCATTTGTATCTCATTATTTCGTATTTGTGACAAGGACTCCATAGCAAATCTAACATCATCCAAATCTTGAATAGGCCGAGCCAAGTTCTTCATTTCTTCAACAATAAATGCTGTTATTGCTGCCATTTTTTCCTTGTACTGCTCATTCAAAAACCGACAAAGTACCATTTTCCAAGCCTTGGCTTCCACTAAAAAAGCCAGTTTTATGGCTTCTAAGAGTGAGGGAAATATACAATTAGCTCAAGTCTCACATTTTGAACAGCTTGATTAGAAAATAATTTTTAAAGTAAATTTAGTTCTCATGCTGTTAATTTAGTTTAAGAATATCAAATATTGCGGCCCCACAATTATATGTACAGAATACAGACCTAGAAATTAGATAGTATCCTGGACAAGAAGGTGAGTCAAACTGAAGTACTTTATTGCTCTTGTTCATCCATAACAAGGTGATTTTTTAAGTTTTTAAATATTTTTCCTTCCCTTTCAAAAATCCATCTGTTTGTGAATCTCAAATTTTAAATGGCCAGCAAAACACTCCCTTTTAGGTTAAAAGATGGTTTATTCAAGCATTCAAATCCAAAGGATGGATTTTTCCACCACATACATGCACATGAAGCATACGGGAAGACAGAAGAGACGAATGAGGAGAGATTGGACAAATTTGGTTTGCTTTCACTTGTAAGTTGAAGGCTAAGGGCTGACCTGATAGAAGCATACAAAATTATGAGAGGGATGGATAGTAGGAGTCTTTTTCCCAGGGCAGAAATGTCAATTACTAGGGTACATACATTCAAGGTTAAAGGCGCAAAGTTTAAAGGAGATGCGGGAGGCAAGTTTTTACACAGAGGGTGGTAAGTGCATGGAATGCATTGCCAAAGGAGGTGGTGGAAGCAGATACAATAGTCATCTTGATAGATGCATGAATTGGCAGGGAATAGAGGATATGGACCACTTAGAGACAAAACGTTTTTAGTTTAGAAAGATGTGTCGGTGCAGGCGTGATGGGCCACAGGGCCAGTTCCTGTGCTGTACTGTTCTTTGTTGAGAAGAGAAGAGAAGAGGAGACAAATATGCACTTAAGAATAAATAAATGAAGTTGAATTATCCCAGTTCTTGATCAACACAGGCAACTGTAAATCGGTTAAGAAAAATGAGATCATCAATGTCAAGAAAAAATGTTCAATTCTGCAACCAAGTTTTGAAAGTCAAGGTTGGCTACATGCCACAAATTTGATACCTTTTAGTAAGACATTTTGTGTAGTTGTAGTTTCTAAAATAGATAGATGAATTGGAAGGTTATTTACAAATAAAACTGATCTGTATGGACTCATGGTCAGTTATCAATGATAAAGGTCTTCTGCCTGCTAACAATCATGTGATTGCCAAGTAGTTTATCAACTTGGGCTGTGAACAAGACAGAGAGAACCTAGGTCAAACCCAAAGAGAAACAAGCAGCCAAAAATTCTTCCTCTTAGTCCTAATCAGTAAGCTACTTTAAGCCTGATAAAACCTGCTGGTCTTTTCTTCAGCAGACAGAACATAGAATATAAGAGTATTGAACATAGAAAAGTGTGGCACAGGAACAGGCTTTTCAGCCTACCATGTCTTCGACAACCATTATACCATTCTAAACTAATCCTACCTGCCAACACATTTCTATATCCCTCTATTCCCTGCCAGTTCACGTGTCTATCCTGAGACCTCTTAAATGTTGCTATCGTATCTACTTCTACCACGTCCTTGGCAATGTGTTCCAGGCACCTACAACAGGCTGTGTAACAACTTCCCTCAAACATGTCCTTTAAACTTTCCCCTCTTACCTTAAACCTATGTCCCTTATTATTTGACATTTTCTCCCTGGGAAAAAAAAGACTGCAACTATCCAACATATCTATGCCTCTCACAATTTTGTATACTTCTATCAGGTCACCCTTCAGCCTCTGATGCTCTAGTGAAAACAATCCAAGTTTGTCCAACCTCTCCCTATAGTTAATACACTCCAATGCTGGTAAACCTCTCTTGCGCCCTTCCAAAGCTTCCACATTCTTCTTATTGTGTGGCCACTAGAACTGCACACAATACTCCAAATGTGGCCTAACTGAAGTTTTATACAGGTGCAACATGTCTTGCCAACTCATATGCCTTCTTTATTACCTTATCCAAGATCCTTCCTAAGGATCCTGCCATTTACTGTATACTTTCCTCTTGCATTTGACCTCCTAAAAATCACTGACGCTTGTCCTGATTAAACTCTCTGCCATTTCTCTGCCCACCTTTCTAACAGATCTATATTGTGCTGTATCCTTTGACCTTCCTTGTTATCCACATCCAAGTTTTGTGTCATCTGCAAATTTACTAACCAGATCACCGACATTTTCATCCAAACCATTTATATATATTACAAACAGCAGAGGTCCCAGCACTGATCCTTGCAGAACTCCACCATAACTACCCAGTTTTCTACAACCAAGCCAATTTTGTATCCAACTTACTAACTCACCATGTTACAAATCTTCTGGACATGCCTACCGTGAGGAACCTTGTCAAATGCTTCAGTAAAGTCTACGTAAACAACATCCACTGTCCTACCCTTATCAATCATCTTTGTCACTTGCCATAAATCTCATCAAATTTAAGAGGCAAAACCTCCCCCGCGTGCTGATTATCCCTAATAAATCCACTCTTCTCCAAATGCAAGTGAATCTTGTTCCTAAGAATCTTCACCAATAATTTCCTTACCACTGACGTAAGGCTTACCAGCCTATAATACCCTGGATTATCCCTGGTTCCATTCTTAAAAAAAAGAACAACATTAGCTATTCTCCAGACTTCTGGGACTTTGCCTGTGGTTAAAGAGGATACAAAGATCTCTATCAAGGCCCCAGCAATCTGTTCCCACGCCTCTCTCAATATCCTGGAAAGATCCCATCAGGCCCTGGAGATTTACCTACTTTAATGTTCCAAGACACCCAACACCTTCTCCTTCTTAATATTGACAAGCCCTAGAGTATCAACATTTCCACCCCCAATCTTGCCATCATCCATGTCCTTCTCCTTGGTGAATACTGATGCAAAGTACTCATTAAGGACTTCACTCACTTTGTCTGGCTCCACACATAAATTCCCTCCTTTGTCCTTCAGTAGATCTACCCTTTCCCTCGCTACTCTCTTCCTCCTAACATATGTTTAAACTGCCTTAGGATTCTTCTTAATGCTCTCATGAAGGGAATTTTATGACCCCATTTAGCCCTTCTGATTCCTTAGAACAAAGAACAGAACAAAGAACAATACAGCACAGGAACAAACCCTTCGGTCCTCCAAGCCTGCACTGACACATTTTGCCCTTCCATATTAAAACTGTCTTCATTTACAGGATCTGTATCCCTCTATTCCCTTCCTATTCATGTATTCATCCAGGTGCTTCTTGACTGCTGCTTTTGTATCTGCTTTCACCACCTCCTCTGGCAGCACGTTCCAGGCACTCACCACCCTTTGTGTGAAAAACTTGCCTCGCACATTTTACTTAAACTTCCCCCTCCAACATCTTGAACCCAATAGTGTCCCCTAGTAACTTACCCCTCCACCCTGGGAAAAAGCCTCATACTTTCCACTCTATCCAGGCCACTCACAATCTTACAAACTTCTATCAAATCACCCCTTAACCTCCTGCATTCCAGTTAAAACAAACCCAGTCTATCCAGCCATCCTTGGTTAAGTTCCTTCCTCTTCCTTTATATTCCTCCAGGACCTTGTTTGATTTCAATTTCCTAAACCTTACTATGCTTCCTTTTTCTTTTTGACTAAACTTTCAATATCTCTTGTCATCCAGGGTTCCTGAATCTTGCCTCCTTATAATTCATCATCACAGGAACATGCTGGTCCAGACCTCTGATCGACTGGATTTTAAAAGACTCCCACATGTCAGATGAGAATTCACCCTCAAACAGCCACCCCTAATTTAATTTCTCCAATTCTTGCCTAATACTATTGTAATTAGCCTTATCCCAGTTTAGCACTTTCACCAGAGGACCGATCTTAACATTTTCCATAACTATCTTAAAATTTATGGAATCATGATCACTGTTCCCAAATGTTCCCCCACTAAATCTTTGATCACCTGGCCAGGCTCATTCCCCAATATAAGGTCTAGGATTCTCCCTTCCATACTTTGATGATCCACACATTGTTTCAAGACCTCTCCTGGATGTATCTAACAAATTCTGCCCATTTTTGCCCCTGGCATGAAGAGAATAAGTCAATGTTGGGAAATTTAAAACACCCACTATGAAACCCTTTTGTTTATACACCTTTCCATTATTTACCTACATGCTGCAAGTTATGGCATTGAATTGGATATGTCAGAGACCTTACATAAGTGAAGCAGTCATCCTGTGTTTGTAGAAATCTCTGGAAGTAGGGAAGCAATGGCCTAGTGGTGTTATCACTGGAGTGTTAATCTAGAAACCCAGATGATGTTCTGGGGGCCTGGGTTCAAATCCTACCATGGCAGATGGTGGAATTTGAATATAGTAAAATATATGGAATTAAGATCTAATGATGACCATGAATACATCACTGATTGTTGGGGGGGAAAATATCCTTTAGGGAAGGAAACTGCCATCCATACTGGTAATGCTTTTAAAGTGAGAGGGGAAAGATTTAAAAGGGACCTGAGGGACAACGTTTTCACACAGAGTGTGGTTTGTATGCAGAATAAACTGTCAGAGAAAATGGTGGATGCAGGTGCAGTTTGGACAGGTACATGAACAGGAAAGGCGTACAGGGACGTGCGCCAAATGCAGGCAAGTGGGACTAGTTTAGTTTGTGAAACTTGGTTGGCATGGACGAGTTGGACCGAAGGATCTGTTTCCATGCTGTAAGACTTTGATTCTATGATTCTATGGGACTAAAAGTCAAGTAGTTTGAAGATTTTGTGAATTTCTTTTAAAATCTTCAAATTTTGTAACACCTCTGGGAATAATGAGGCATGATTTCTAGCACACAGCTCCAGTGAGCTGTGACAATGCCAGCAGGGATTTAGTGAAGTTCAATTGTCCATCACGGTCTTCGTGGAGCAGACAATAGGCCTCATGAGGTGAAGGTTCCGATGCTTGGGTCAGTCTGGGGCAGCCTTGCAGTTCAGTCCAGACAAAGTGTGCCACATATTCCTCGCATGCTCTGCAATGAATGGGTATACCATGAATGCTGAAGA